CTTACTAAGGCCCCAACATCTCCCCTCACCAAAAGTTGGAATCAAACATCAAGGAGATGTAAATCTGGAAGACAGTTGCGCACTTGACAACCTCTATGATGATAGGAATGCATGTGCTTTTTTTTTGCTCTTTTGTTTTTGGCGTTAGGCAGAGCAACTAGCAATACATAAAAGATGTTCACTCTGTGTAGTAGGAACAGTAATTTTTGCTAACATTTGCTACATTTTTGCTAACTATATTATTTGAACAGGAAAAGTTGGTTTATTTGAAAAATATTTACTTCAAAACACATAGTTAAACTTGCCAACAGTTACAAAAGGATTCAATCAAAAAATCTGATTAGAATAAAAGACAAGATTTACTTCAGACAATCATTTATACTGATAATTTTACCTTGATTTGTTGTTCTTTGACGCTAGGTGTGTTCTTCAGCAGATTTAAATACACTCCCCCTGGTGTTCTTCTTCTAGTACCATTCTTTATAAGGGAAAGTGAAAATTAGTAATTAAAATGAGCTTAAAATGTGTCGATAGAGAAATAAAATCTAAAACAATGCTTTTAATTGAGGCAGAATCCAGAAATCTAAGCTGTTTTGTAAGGTATCATACAACAAGTCTGACTAGTTATTGTTTGTGACTAATCTAGTCATAAAAAAGGTCAATAGCCAGCTCTCTACATTTGAACAGGTAATGTGTAAGATATCAAAGAATTTGTTTTAAAATACTAAAACTAATGACCTAGCAGGCAATCATTTCATCTGATTTTCCATTTATTTATTTCTTGCGGGGAGGGGGGGAAGAAATTGGTTGTTTTTGTTTTAAAAGCTGTTCAGTTATATCTTAAATCTGATTTTGTAGTAAAGGAGCAAAAGGATAACAGCATTCTAACTACTCTCAACAGCTATCTGTAGGAATGTAAATTTTAAAAGAGATATTCAGATCTTAAAACAGAAGCCCAATAAAATATCAAAAGAAGTTTCACGAAATTACGTAAAATTAAATTTTACTATATTACATCTAACAATTCTAAAATTCACCTGCCTTCAGGATTTTGTTTTTCTGCTTGAGAGTTATTATATACAATATTTACTTTAAAGCCTTTCCCCACAGGACGGTAGTTCCATGCTTCAAAAGTACCCAGTGTAACATAAGTAATATAATGCATAATAGTCAAGCATGAATGGACTCAACCAACTTTAAAGGTTCACTTATCATTGAATTATATCAATTTATGATATATAAATGTTACATAAAATTGAATTGTCTGTTACTTCAGTGCCCTGATACTGTACTAAAGAAGATAGAATAGGGAAGCTGAATTTTAAAGCTTGAAATTAGATTCCGTATTCTTTCATCATCCTAGTAAATTTCTAACCAACAGGGACAGTGTACTTTGTTCATCTATTCTGATTTGCAGCCAAGAAATTTGTCAGCATGAGTTGTATTCTTTTATCTCCCTGCTAAATATTTGCTGTTAAATGCTTTAATATTTCAAGAGTATTATTGCTTTTAAGAAAAATAATTAGTTTTTGAAGAAATATGTTAAAAATGTATATACAAGTGCATGAAAGTACTTATTGAGTCTCTTCCCATTTTTTAAATAACTCTTGAGTTAAGACTTACCATTTAAGAAAAAAAAAATGCAGAACTTTATAACCTTACCAGCTAAGTACAGGATTTTTACTATGATTTGTAACAGAAAATGGTACTCACTTTGCTCTACAGATCTAAGACTAATTCTAGAGACATTGATCCAGTATTAAGGCTTACAGGTTGCCTCTTGAATGTTACTTTTCATATGTGACATTAGAATTATATAGTATTTGGAGTTCTGATGGCATTCTGATTATTAGTCAATGGTTTCAAAAAATGCACCTGGCTTATTGAAGCAATGTGGCCAGATACTACAACTGGATCCTAAAATTGTAAGGTTTCATTTAAACTTTAGAGGCCTGCACTCTTAGTTTGAGAGATAAACATTCCAGGAAATAAAGAGTAATCAATGAAATGTTATCACTGGTATAAGTTATTGTTCTTAAGCCTCCAAGCTTGGGCAATTTACACATTCATTCGACTCACTGTCTACACAAACCCTGCTAGAAGATTACATTAACATACTGTTAAAAGATTTTCACAGCTCTAAAAAGAGTCCTAAAAGGGTGGCAGTAAATTAATGCATGGAATCCAGGAAAACTTGTCAAATGTATCGCAGTAGTATTTCATCAAGTATTCTGCAAGTAGAAAAGTCTCATAAAACCACAATATTGTGTTTTCTTACCACTATGAACAGTCCACCATTTTGTTCCACTTCAGCAGTTTCCATAAGCAGTTCAATAGCCTTCCTTTTTCCAATTATTTTCACTACTCGGGCAATCAGATCTTTCTTTGGTTCACAAAGCCTTTCAGGGAAGAAAGGAGGGAGAAAAAAAAGAATGTATTTACAGTCAGTAGGACTTCTCAAGTAAAACTGACAACAGAACTTCAGAATCCTAAGCTTCTAGCAGACATTAATATACAGAGTATACATTTTTCAATAAAAAATTAGTGATTATTTTCTCTCTACTGATGTGTGAAAAATTCAACCAAATGAGAAACATCAAAGGCCAGTACAAACCTCTGAAAATATAGTATTATAGTCTGCTGTGTAAGATGAACTAACAACACATAGGAGTTGTGAGCCTGAAGGGAGAGAGGAAGCTGGGTGACATTAAATGCAGGATTTAGGCTAGGTACAGATAATTTGCATTTAATTAAAGTGACAGCACTCTACAGTTAAATCAACAATTAACTGGAAGCAATAGTGATTGTAACAGTTCAATATCTTGCGCAACACTTACAAATCTACAGAATAATAAAAAAAGAATCAAACCCAGGACACAATCTATGGTAATCTACCTGCAAATAGCACCGCCCATCTCCCAAAGACCTACAACATTACAGAGTTAAATTGAGGTTTTTTTTTTTTTTTAGTAATGATATCTGTGCAGAAGTCTGTACTTCTGTTGGGCAAAAATGCATAAGCTCACAAATCAAATCCACTTTTCCAGAGCAAGGGTTAATACTCTAAATTCTCATATTTTTATGATGAAAATGTTTTCAAATTTGGGGGAGTAACAGACTCCCCTCAGTTATCAACACTTCCTGAAAACCAAGCTTTAACATTTCAAGTAACATTACCCTGCTACAAAGGTTTATGAGCTACAATGATGATATAATAATAAGGTCTCAGTCCACTTAGAAGTATATAGGAATACCAGGAAGCAGGCTAGCTTCAACTGCTTCAGTTGTATGACTGAAATACGATTTTTATTGTCTTATTTCATGGTATTTTAATGACAACTGTTCTAGCCACTCAGAAGATTCATACTTTGTAATTATTCTTACCAAGTTCAGTGGATTATTAGGCACTGAAAGTTAATTGCCATCTCAAATATTTACAGGATTGAATTACAAATTATCAATCGTTGGAAGAGAGAGAAATGTTTCTCAAAAGCATATAGCTTTAGCGTAACAGATTCCTTAAAATTTGGTTAAATTCTACCAACTTCTGTTAGCAGTGCCAATTTAAACAGTCACCTCTTCACCAAGAGTTCTTTCTGCCTTGCACACAACCGTCTTATACAAGCTTTAACTCTAAGAAGCGGTACAGTCCAACAGGAGTGGAGCAGCCGGAAAAGCTCCTTGATTTCCGTTTACTATGTGGGCTAGCACAAGCAGAGAGTCATTCAGGCACTGATGCTACAGCACTGCTTAAGCAACAATGCTTTATTTCCAAAAAAACTGGATCACATGAAAAGAAAAAGGAGGCTTCTACGTTCATCTTAATGAAGCTCAACACAAAGGGACAAGTCTGTTACAAGTGACAAGCTGTAAGTTTTCAAATTTAAAACTGAAAGCTACTGAGAACAGCTAATGGCATTAATCACTGGCTAATTACTGTATCAAAGTTGACTTCTAGCAGTACCAAGTTTCACATGTTACACATTAACAATGCCACCTAAATAAAAAATGGGTTTGTTGACCAATCCAAAATCACTGAGTTTTAAACTTTTGTTACCTACGTAACCCTAATTTTGTCCCCTCACACATGGATGTTATGGGTGATTCACCTTTTGAAAAAAGGATAGTCAACTTAAGTCTGTCTAAATAAGAACGACTGCAGTCATTTGCCTCAACAGCATCAGTCCTGTGCTGCCAGTGTCAGCTGAAGGGAATTGTGGAGCTAACTGGTTCTGCAAAATAACTTGTCTGAAAATAAACACTTTGCCCACAAAAGGACTTGGACAGATGAAGTCCAATCTGCCCCAGGTACTTCTTTTAAACACAACTGTGCACAGAAGTAGATGGCAGTGAGTGTGTGCACGGTAACAGTTGTTTAATAATCTCACTGCTGTCTCAGAACTGCAGTATACTTTCACAATACAGAGAAGAGAAAGCTTTTTTCAGTACTAGTGTCGAACCTTGGCACAGTCCCCACTTACAGGAGCAACAAAAGGTGTCTTCAGACACCTATGTTTCAAGTATCTAAAGAATTTCTGCATTTCAGGATTTGGAGTCTCCAAATCTCTACACAGTCCAAGTAACCTATAACCACAGAGATTGGCAATATCCACTTTTTCATGGACAGCGCAACAAATCTCCATTGCTGTCCACCTTCAAATCCACAATTTTCTTCATGGGGTAATACAGCTTTACCTAGCAAAGCCACTACTAACCTATGCCATGAAAAACAGTATTTTTCCTTGACAGGGTTCTCATGGAAGCCAACCATTCTGGCAGATCTTTTCCAAGAAGATTCATAGTGTTTTAACTCTCCACATCTGAAATTTAGAAACTTTATCACACTTATTGTTTCAGAACTACCTGAAAAGGGTATCGGGGATGTTAAACAGTATTATTGGAGCTTTTTTCAAGATACCAGCTGGGATGCTAGATTTGTGTCCCAAGATTCTAGAAATACGCACAAGGCATTCATGCCTTTCATAGTTCGGCAAGATATGTAACATTTGGCTGTAAGAAAGTTTTCTTTTTTTTTTTTTCCCCTGATGTCTAAGGAAGTTAGGAAATACTGTATTAAACTCACCGATAAGCAATTTCATCTGCCACTTTTTCCTCAGAATCTTCTTCTGTTATCTCATACCTTCCTTTATAATTCATTTCTTGTCTTTCCCCCAGTCTATCTTTTACAGGCCGCTTTCGCTTGAGAAAACCATGTCCATTTTCTTCTTCTGTTGGCAGTGCTTTCTTGTCATCATGCATGTATTCATCCAACTCTTTATCTAAAGTCTCTGCCTCCTTTTGCTGAGCTTCTCTCATTAGCTTTTTAGCCAATAAATAATTGTAAGTCTCAGACTGCCTGCTTCTGTCAATACTACCATCCATTCCTAGAATCCCAAGTTCAGTAGCCACGGCATCCTGACTCTGCTCCTGAAGCACCACTCCCCAGATATTGTTGACCTTCTTGCCGCCTGGGAGAGTTTGCTTTTGCTGGTTCTGGGTGAACTGAAAAGGCTCAGATTTAGCAGGAGGAAGGTTGGAACATTTCTGACGTTTTCTTTTCCACAGACAACTATCATCATCCGATTCAGAAAAGCTCTCATCACTTGAGTCCACACTTTTGGTTGTCCTATATGGGACACTGGGTGCACAGGATGAAATGATGCTCTGGAAAGGTCTGACTGAATTACTTCCATCATGCGATTTCTGTAAAAAGTAAATGCTTGTTAACCCAATTACTCCTCTTAAAGAAAAAAAAAAAAAAAGCTATCAAGTGATGTCAAGATACATTGTTCATGTGTTCTTTTTTTTTAATCGTGTAACTATAAGCTTGCTATAGCCTAGTGTCTATATCAAGTAGAAAGCAAGAAGAAGATTTTAAAATATTTTTAGATATGTCTCATTGCTACAAGAATATTTTGGAAAGACTATTCTCTGTACTTTTGATTGGCAGCCTAAAACACCAAAACCAAACCTGCTGAAAGCCGCATCATCTATCAAAGCATCATGGTTGAAATGACCCAGAATTCTTATTCCCAATGCACAAAACTTTGGATCATGCTTCTGAGTCGATCTACAGTAAGCATTTTTCTTACCAATAGTTCTAGTTCTCTCCATACTGACCTCCAATTGTAAAATTATATACCATCTCATGATTTTTAAAATTAGTCATCTTTTCATTCAAACTTGGGTTAAGAAGAAACCTTTTATTTAACCCTTACTGTTACTTAACCAGCATTTTATTTTCTTTCCACTAGCAGGCAACAAGAAGTCTTCAGCTTATTTTATCACATTATTAAACAAAAAGCTTAAAACGTATTCAATCACACAAAATTTTAACACAGTGTTCACAACTGCACAGTATACCTGTAACATTTTTAATGCTAGACATCTCAGAACTGCATAACAATAGAAGCAACAAACGAAAACAAAGATCCTTACACATACAGTGCCATCTATCATATTTTGAAGTTTTGCCCTTGTATTATCATATACTTATCTCATAACCTTAAAACACAACTTAACATGAAAACCGCGAGAGACTAGAAAACAAAACAGCATCTCATCAGCAAGCAGCATATGCAGAAGAGTTCCGAATTCAAGACAAAGCACTATGCCTCAGCACCGGCCCCGGGGAGGGCGCCGGGCAGCGGGGGCTCCCGTGAGCGGCAGGGGCGGCGGGGGGGGCCGGGGGGGCCGGCCCACCAGG